CACTCCTGCTTCCAAACCTATTTTACAACTGGGAGCTCCACCAAACATTGTCCATATTGGGAAACCATTCAGGTATTTGATTACCCCAATGACTCAGCATCACAGCAACCCAGTTTACATCATATATTGCACATTGACAAAGAGTGATGTACAAAATGGAAGAGTGTTGTTCCTCCAGATATAACAACAGTCTCATTTGTTGTTGTTGACTGTCATCAAGTCAATGACAACTCATAGTATTCCAAAAATATCTGTTTTACATATCTTTTCTCCTGAGATATAAAATTTCTTTAACTCAAAGATTCGCTCTGTTTTTATTAAAAAAACATACAGTTTAAATAAAATCACAGGTTAATCTGGTCTTAGGTCTGAGTCCTACTTTTACCACTCATTGGCATTGGAAACTTGAACAAATTTCTTACCCTCCATGAAATGCACTTGTTTTCTCAGCTGCAAAATGGAGATAAATGCATTTAATTCAGTTTTGTTGAGTATTAAATGCAATAAGATTTGTAAAGGGTTTAACACAAGACCTTACACTGTTTTTTATACTGGTTTACTTTTGTTTGTTTGTTGTGTACAGTCGAATCGGTTCCGATTGGCCCAGGAAGAGATTGCCCCTCCTTCTTCAGCAGAGCGTTTGGTGGATTTGAACCGTGTACTTTTGTGATTTCAGTGCAGCTTCTTGCCACTAGGCCACCAGAGCTCCCTGGCCTTACACTGTTTTTAATGAAAGTTAGCTAATATCTTGTAGTCTTTGCATTTTGTATGGCAAGTAGAAATATCTGAGTATATATCTGTCTATAATATCAAGTGAAATTTATTATATTCGTGATTGTATTTATCATTTTATCACAAATACCATTGTTGACAATCAGTATGTTTTAGTAGTAATCATTTCCAAGGCCTAATATTTCTTTGATAATAAAATACTCTATGCAAACAACAAATGCTGGTGTGATTGTGGAGAGATTGGAACTCTTATTCACTGCTCGTGGGAATCTAAAATGGTACAACCACTATGGAAGGTGGCCTGGTGCTATCTAAAAAAGCTGGAAATGGAAATACTATTTGATCCAGCACTTCCACAACTGGGAATATACCGTAAAGAAATCAGAGCCACAACTCAAGCAGATGTATGTGTGCACCCATGTCTGTTGCTGCCTTATGCACAATAGCAAAGAGATGGAAGCAACCCAAATGCTCATCAACAAATGTATGAGTAAATAGAAAAATCATAGTACGTTCACACAATAGAATACTACGGAACGTTGAAAAACAGTGAAATAGTAAAGCATTATACAACATGACTGAGCCTTGAGGTCATTATGCTAAGTGAACTATCTCAATCACAAAAGGATAAATACTGTGTAACACTGCTGTTATAAAATAGGACATTGGAGTGCTGGGAAGAGAATGGGGAAAGAGTGGATAGATAATGAACACTGCATTAGAACAGAGGAGGGAAGAATTGTCTGGAAAGAATATATGATTATACATAATATTATTATGAGAATGATCTGGAACAATGGGTACATTGCAGAGTGGGCTAGAAGAAGGGGGAGAAAATGTGCAACAATGAATAAATTTTTAAAAGATAACTTTTTTCATGGAAAAATAACCAAAGCTTTATGTTCATGTACAAAAACTTACTCATTTTGTTTCATTGTTGCATTGTATAATACTTTCAGGGTACTCCAGTAACTAGAGCCTCTAATACTTAGGGCAGGGTAGTATATCTGAAAGATGCCTTATTATAAATGTAATTTTGTTCTTATATTTAAACATGGTCTTGAAATTTATAATACGTCACTAATTCTGTGTTGTTGTTCTGTGCCATTGAGTCACCTGTGACTCATAGCGACCCTGTGTACAACAGCCCTAAAACCTGCTCTGTCCTGTGCCAATCTCGATGTCTCTGACACCCCAACCTTATTACCCCAGTCACTGAATCAATCCAGCTCATTGAGAATCTTCCCCTCCTGCACTGTCCCTCCACCCTTCCAAGCATGATATCCCTCTCCAAGGACTTGCAACATGTCCAAAATATGTTAGGTGGAGCCTCAGAATCCTTGCCTCCAAGGAGCCACCCAGTTTGACCCTTTCCAGGATGAATCTGCTTGTTTTCCTAGCAGTCCATGGTACCCTCAATACTCTTCTCCAGCACCACAGCTCAAAGGCATCAATTCTCCTTCTATCCTCCTTAGTCATTATCCAACTCTCTGATGCATAACAAGTGATTGCAAAGACCATGCATGGCCTGTATCAGATATACCTTACTCTCCAGAGAGACACCATTGCTCTTCAGTACTCTGGAGAGGTCCCTAACAGCAGACTTTCCCATCGCACTATGTCTTTTCATTTCCTGGCTACTGGTGTCAAGAGTATTGACTGTGGAGCCAAGCAAACTAAAGCTGTGAACAATCTCAATCTCTTCACCATCCATCCTCATACTGCCAATTGGCCCAGTGGTGAGAATCTTTGCCTTCTTCATATTGAGCCTCCATCCATATTGAAGGTTGCAGTCCTTGACCCTCTGCAGCAAGTGCTTTAGGTCTTCCTCAGTTTCAGCAGGCAGGGTTGTGTCATCTGCATAACGCAGATTGTTGATGGATCTTCCACCAATCCTGATGCCACACTACTCCTCATAGAGCCCAGCCTCCTGGATAATCTGTTCTGCATACAGATTGAAAAGATATGGAGATAGGACACATCCCTAGTGTACACCCTTCTCAATTTTGAACCATGCAGTGCCTCCTTGCTCTGTTCTGTTTACTGCCTCCTGGTCCAAGTATAGGTTTCTCATTAGCACAATCAAGTGTTCTGGGATTCCCATTCTTCTCAGAGTCAGCCACAGTTTTCAGAAGGCAGCGTGGGAAGATAAAGTAAGATATTACAATGAAATGTTCAAGGAGCTAGAGTCGGAAAATCAAAAGTGCCGAACTTGCTCAGCATATCTTAAGCTCAAGGAACTGAAGAACAAATTCAAACCTCGAGTTAAGGATGTTTTAAGCAGAATATTAAATGATCCAGGAAGTATTAAAAGATGGAAAAAAATATACTGAGTCACTGTATCGAAAGGAATTGGCAGACACAGAAGAATTTCATGAAACAACATATGAGCAAGAGCCTATGGTAACAAAGGAAGAAGTTCAAGCTGCTTTGAAGGAAATAGGAAAAAATAAGGCCCTAGGAATAGATGGTATACCAATTGACGTACTTCAGCTAACAGATGCTGCCCAGATGTGCTCACCAAGTTGTGCCAAGAAATCTGGAGAACAGCCACCTGGCCAACTGACTGGAAGAGATCGATATTTGTTCCTATCCCAAAGAAAGGATGATCCAACAGAGTGTGAAAATTATAGAACAATATCATTGCTTTCACATGCAAGCAAGATTCTGCTAAAGATTATCCAAAAACAGCTGGAGCAGCACATCAGCAGAGAACTCCCGGAAGTCCAGGCTGGGTTTAGAAGGGGTCATGGTACTAGGGATATTGTAGCTAATGTTAGATGGATCTTACCTGAAAGCAGGGAGTATAGTCTGTCTGTATTTCATTGATTATGCAAAGGCGTGTGACTATGTGAGTCATAACAAACTGTGACTGACCAATTCTATACCAACAGAAAAAACGCATTCAAGTTCTATATACAGATGCGTTGAAGCTTCATTTTAAGTTGTCAAGTGAATAATAAAATGGCCATAGTTCTCTGTGTTTTTACAAAATGACATCATACTGCTTTGTATTTGGTTTTACTTTAAAAAAAAAAAGCCAGACTTTGTTCTGTGGTAACTGGTACTTTAAAAACCACTTACATGTTTATATGAAATGTAGTTTATTAGTAATTATGTTGTAAAAATTAAGATTTCAAATATCTTTGGTTTCTGTGTACTCATTTTATTGGAAAGTAAACTAATAGTAATGATTTCTATGAGAGATACATCTGTAACTAGAATACTATTGTATTCACATTCTGTCAAAGTTTACTGTTGCTTTTTTAATGTTTTATTTCAGGTGAAGTATCTCCTGGAACCATTCCACAGTATAAAGAAAGGATTCCCTCTGTTACTCATAGTCCAGAAATAATGGATTCATCAGAGCTACGGCCATTTTCTAAACCAGAAATAGCACTGACAGAAGCCTTAAGGCTTTTAAGTGACGAAGATTGGTAAGTTCACACTCTCTCACACCCCTAACAGAAGACATCTAAGTGTCCTGAAATGATTTCCTTAAAACGCTCAAAACATATTTCCATTAAAACACTTACTTTAGTTCTTAAGCAATCTTAAAGTATCTTCTGAATTTATTATATTCTGTTTCCTAACATAGGTGAACATTGGTCGTAAGTATTATGTTATTATATATGTGATCACTTATGTTTAAACTTTATACTTTAGATATTTCACTGTTTCTCAAAATGTTTCTCTATGAAGTGCATTCCTAACAGTCCTATAAGTACTTAGCTTCTCTAACCACACTTGCAGTCACCATCCAGCAGCCTGATAACTCAAAGAAACAAAAGGACACTGGAAGTGTGCATCCCATTTGCTTCATCTGAAATGCACAATTTGCTCTTTTCCATTACCTCTTCTATTCCTCCAGTTTCTCTCGCTGTCCCACTTTACCCCTCATCATTTATTTTTGCCTCTTTCCTAAATCCTAATCTTCAATATAAAAATATGCTGTAATATCTTCATTTTTTTAAAATCCTCCCAAAATTGCATTGTGCATGGTACAGTGCCCTCAGAGTGCTCTACTAACTGTGTCTGACATGTGTTTCTGAAACTGAGCGCAGGACCATACATCCTGCAAGTACTTGGCTGGTACTGATTCTTGTTCACATTTCTTTCTTTCTTCTTTTTTTTTAGCACAATTCTTCAAAAAGGCTGACATTATTTTTTCTCCCTCATGTCTTCTCAACCAAGAGTACCCATTTTGCTAAATCTATGCTGATCATTTCTTAGTCTTCATCTTCAGAAATGATTGATGCAACTTTCTTCTTTTTGTTTTGTTTGTAGGGATTTTTTGATGTTTGTTTTTTCATTTGGCATAGAAACTTCAGACTTCTGATGCTCTTCCTGCTTCACAATTTTCTTGTTCTTTTCTTTCTTTTCCTCATATTTTGGAGTGCTCCAAGATTTAGTCCACTGCCACTCTATTTTTTCTGTCTACGTTCATCATATAGATCACAGGCTGTCATAAAGAGTCAAGTGGTAAATATTTTAAGCTTTGTGAGCCAGAATTCTTGGTTCCAACTGTTCTTGCTTTGTAGTACATAAACAGTACTGGGAAACATGAATTATATGTAGTAATATGAAAACAAATGGGATCACTGTGACCCAGAAAAATTCCTTCTTGACTTTTTATTGTGATTTCAGTGAAGATAATAAAAGTTGAATTATCAAAGTTGAAGGCACATGGGTGATGATGTCAGAGGCATCTGTTTCCTGTACCATCTGCATCTTATTATACATGTAGTCGTCATAAAATGTGGTTCATTTTATTTTTGTAGGCTCTGGAATCAAAATGTGATTCCATTATAAGCCAGTGGGTAATCACAGTACATTGGGTGAAAACTATTAGGCAGTCTCAAGACTTGACAATTTCTGTACAGATTGTAGTTTTCCTGTTGTTTTGAACTGTACTTCCTCTAAGCTCTCTAACACTTGGAAATCTTTCTGACCTAGATAAAAGTGATTCTTTCTCAGTAGTTTGTTATTATGTCAAAATGTGCCTCCAGAGTGATGATAAAGCTGTGGACATGTTACATTCCAGCAAAAAAAAAAAAAAAGTTGAATTGTGAAAAGATGTGCCCAAACTTAGTCTATAGTCAGTTTGTACTCATCACTAAATCATTTCACTCATTCCATAGCATTAAATTCTATCTAACTCTATTCCCTCATTCATCTATTTGTCATATTATGGTGCTTTGTTAGTTATTGTGATAGTGGCAGCTATACCACCAGTATTTTAAAAACCAGCAGGATCACCCATATTAAAAAGGATTCACCAGACAATCCAAACCGACTATCCACTTGTGAAGTAACTGACCAGTCAGAACATTATGAATAGCAACAGAACACTGTCTGATAGAGTGTCATGTAGAAGGTACCCAAAGTTCAGCTAGGGAAGAGCTGCCTCCTTAAAGTAGAGTTGACTTTTATTGTGTAGATAGCTTAAGCTTTCAAAATTTATATTTACCTACTTGGTTCAGCAGCACATATACTAATATTGTAATGAAACAGAGAAGATTAGCATGGCCCCTGTGCAAGGATGACATGTAAAATTGTAAAAAAATTGTTTAAAAAATCCAAAAACAAACTTTTCTTTTACTGATAATCTTTCATTTGATGCTGTGGTACAACTAAAAATAAGATGAAACATCGATCAAAAGCCAAAACAGAAAATTTACAAATTGTCAAAAATAAAACGAGATATAGCAGATGACATCGTAGGCATTCATGCACTGACTCACCCATTGTTGTCAAGTCAGAACTGACTCACAGCTAACCTCCACTGGATTTCTGAGATGATTAATTATACAGAAGGAAATCGTCCATCTTTCTTTTGTGGAGCTGCTAGTGAATTCAAACTCTCAGAGAGTTGCTGCCCTTGAGTTAACAGTACAGTGCACCACTGACTATACCACCAGCCATTTAAAAATCAGATAATCATATGATCTGCTACTTCAGCAATGACGTAATGAAGAAGAATATCATTGCATTCATCATCAGAACATACCAAGATCAATCCTGAAATAACAACACTATCCCTAATTGTATAATATCCATACATATACAAGGAAGCCCTAATAATAAGACTGTTATTTAAATTTACTCACCAACCCCCAAAATACAAAGTTAAAAATTGAGAATTTCTACTCATTTCTTTAGTCAGAAATTAGTCACTGAAAACAGCTATGAGAATATCCTCATATTCTCACCTCAGTAAGAATAGCAAAATTCAACAGAGCAGCAAACAACAAAGGCTGGCAAGGTTGTGGAGAAGCCAGAACACTTATTACCATCAGTAGGAGTATAAAATGGAGCAACCACTATGGAAGGTGGTATGGCGCTTTATCAGAAAGTTGCAAATAGAAATACCATTTGACCCTACAATTCCACTGTTGGGAATATACCCTAAAGAAACCAGAACTAACACCCAGGCAGACAGATGCACACCTATGTTTATTGCTGCTTTGTTCACAGTAGCAGAGAGATGGAAACAACCCAAGTGCCCATCAACAAATGAATGGATAGAGAAGCTGTGGTTTATTCACACAATGGAATACTATGCAGCACTGAAAAACAAGGAACTTATGAAATATACAAAATGGGTGACCCTGGAGGACATTATGTTGAGTGAAATATCTCAGTCACAAAAGGACAAATACTGTATAATGCCACTGTTATAAAACAAGACTGACATCGGGTTTAGGGGGAAACTAAGAAAAGAGGGGCTAAATAACTTACACTGCATTGATACAGATGAGGGAGAGAACTGTTTAATAGGAATATATGATTAGGTATTATTTGCATGACAAGAGTCCAGAATAAGAGATGTATAGTAAAGTAGACTGGGGTGGGGGGTGATTGTATAACAATGAAATAATTTTTTCCCTATCAAAGAGAAAAGCAAACTGGAGGGAGGGGTGGGCAGGGAGGAAAATGCAACAATGAATGAATGGAAATCCAAGTTCCCTATAATCTTTCTATAAACTCTCAAGAAAAAACAAACAAACAATGAGCTGGAGTATATCAGAGTTGATGAAGATGGAAGAAGATTATGCAAGGTTCACATCTATTTTTCATAGTGTCACTATGAGTCAGTCAACTCAATGTCCCCTAACAACAACCTCCAATAAAGATCTGTTGCCTTGGAAATCCCATAGATGGTCAGTATTAGTCAGGATCAACATACCATTGGTGAGACTTCCTAAAACATGTGAAAGTATTTAAAAGATATTTTTGTTTGGTTTTATTTCATAGTTTTTAATTTTATATTAATTTACATACAAAATTCATATATATTGTTTCATACTTTCCTTCATTGACATTATGTTTCATGTAGTCATTCCCATATTTTGTTTTTTGTAAAATTAATCACTATTGAACTATGCCCACCATTACTCCATCTTTTCAAGTTCCCAACAGATCTTTCCCATTTCCTTTACCCCTTCCACCAAATTGAGCAACCCTGTGATTTCCTCCCTGCCCATCATCACTGCTCTGCTCCCATCCCTTCCCCCCTGGATTCCCATGCATGTTTTAAAAGTTATCTCTCTATTTTTACAATCATGGTCTTATGCATTATTTGAACTTATGAGACTGAGTTAGTTCACTCAGCATAATGCTCCCCAGTCTCTCCTAACTTATGTATTAATTTTTTTAAATCATTATTCCTGAGTAATATATTCCATCATGTGAATGTACCACAATTTCTCAACATACTTAGTTATGGTTGTATTTGATTATTTTCTTGTGATAGTAAATAAAGCTGCTATCATAAAAAAATTTAAAATTAATCAAAAAATGTGGAAAATTTAAAAAAATAATCACTGTACAACAATGAAAGAATTCTTTTTTCAAAGAGAAAAGAGAACTGGGTGGTTGGGCAGGGAGGAAAATGTGCAACAATGAATAGAAATCCAAATTTTCTATAAACTCATTAAAATCTCAATTAAAAAATAGACATAAACACATCAAGATTTGCTGATAATTACTGATTATTGGAATGCAAAAGTTGAAAACAAAAGGAAAAATCAAGTCAGCTGTTGGAAAATATAGCCTTGGTGATCAAAAGAATACTAAAGATGGCATGATAGAATTTTGTACAACCAGTAAACATGAGATTATAATTATACCTGTGGACTCCACCAGATAAAATACACAAGAATCAAATCAGCTACATCTTTGGAAAAAGACAACGTTGTTGTTGTTGTTGTTGTTAAGTGCCGTCCAGTCGCAGGTGCCTCATAGCCACGCTATGAAGGAAAGTCCTCAATACTTGTGTGTCTTTAATCCTCTCTCCAGGTTCATTGAGTTTCCGGAGGCAAGCTATTACGGAAGTGGATGCCACTCCTCCTCCCAAGCTATAAATAGGCAAATTATAATCAGTCAGAACAAGACAAAGTGTTAACTATAGACTAGACCACCAGTTACTCATATG